TTACACTAGCTTACACTAGCTTACACCAGCTTCACCAGCTCACACTAGCTTACACTAGCTTACACTAGCGTACACTAGCTTACACCAGCTTCACCAGCTTACACCAGCTTACACTAGCTTACAACAGCTTACACTAGCTTCCACTAGCTTACACCAGCTTACACTAGCTTACAACAGCTTACACTAGCTTACACTAGCTCACACTAGCTTACACCAGCTTACACTAGCTTACACTAGCTTACAGCTACATACTTACCCTTCGTTCTTTAATAGTTCATAACTTCATCCCGATCTACACCCTATCCTAGCTTGAGACTCGATTCTAAGGTTTCTTCTTGAGTTTTAGATAGAGCTGGGAAGTAATCCAGCTCACCACGATTGTCTTTATCGTGGTGAGCTGGGAAGTAACCCACGATCACCACGATTTTAAAGTTATTGATATAAAGATATCGATATCGATTAAAGTCTATCGACTTCAGGCAAAAAAAAACTCCTTATTCTAGTCCCAGCTCACCACCACCAATCGCCAGACGGCAAGGAGACTCGAACCCGAGCAGGAAATAAATAGCTCGCTTTGTATATGTCGTAGCCGTTTACGAAATTCAGCCGCTAACGAATGAGAGTATTTCCGGGCATCCAATCAAAAAGTCATCCACAAAAAAATGTTCATAATACATATATTTTATAATGAATTTTTGAAATTAGCTCATTTGGTTCAGTAGAAAAAAATTTTTGAGCCCCCAAAGTTTAGGTTCAAAAATGGCTATAAAAAATTTTCTACTCAGCCAAAAAACTTGCCTAATAGCTCATTTTGTAGCCAATTTGATGTAGTTTCTTAAAGTAAAGCCATCTAAAACAATTTTTCGTTAAAAGTAGAAGAAAGAGGGCGAGGAACAAATTCAGGGCAATTCTCAAATGTGAAAACAGCGACCGAGTTCAACTGAAGTCGTTCCTCGCCCTCTTTCTCCTAGCTTTGAAAAACAAATGTTCAATGTAGCTTTACTTTAAGAAACTACATCAAATTGGCTACAACGTAAGCGGCTACGACATATGCAAGCACCTTATCCCCTACGCCACCAGATCATCTTGACCTCGACCCCGAAAAGTCTTTTAAGCGAGCATAGAACTTCTCAACATCTCGGTTAAAACGCTTTTCTCGCGTGGCAATGATGTGAGCCTGTAGCCTAGTGGATAAGTTGCTTGGATACAAAATAACCTTCCATAATTTATCGCCCCGGGTCCGATTCCTCTCTTTGCAATATATTTTGCTTTCTTGATTTTAACGAAACTAATACGAATATATTTTGTTTCTTTTCATTTCCCTTTCCCAATCAATAAAGATCATTAACAAAGAAGAGATAATATCATCTGGGCTACTTGTCTGTACTATTGTACTACTCTACTACTGTACTACTGTACTACTGTACTACTGCACTACTGTACTACTGTACTACTGTACTACTGTCTGTCTAGAGGTTTAGGATTGCAAATGCTAATTAGAATTTTGATTATCTATTTCATAGCTTTAAGAATTCACTGCAAAGATAAGGGAAAACGATTGGGAGGTCGGAGAGGATTCGAAAAAGAGCATGAGTTGGTCTGGAAAAGCTTTGGCCTGGAAAGTCTGGAGTTGGTCTGGAAATTGAGGTGACTAAGCCACTACCAGACTAAGCCAGCTAAACTCAAGACAAATCTAACGACCATTCTTCCTGTTCCTGAAAATTCCAATCATAGAAGTTCCTTTATTAATCAGTTACAAGTCCGACACTGAATTGAGGTGCTTGGCAGGGATGGATTGAAGTTTCCTAAGCCAGCCAGCCAGCCAGCCAGCCAGCCAGCCAGTGAGCCAGTGAGCCAGTGAGCCAGTGAGCCAGCCAACCAGTGAGCCAGTGAGCCAGCCAACCAGCCAACCAGTGAGCCAGTGAGCCAACCAGCCAGCCAGCCAGCCAGTCAAGCCAAGCCAACTCTAACCATCATTCTTTTTGCTTATCTTTGTAAATAAAATCCTTAGGAAAAAAAAAGCCTTATTGGATTCTCTATTCAATTCTTCACTAGGCTTAGCATTTAGCTATCAGAAACTCCTGTGCATCAGAAGGGATTCGTTTACAAATTTTGAGCACAACATTTGTACAGTACTCTAATGAATTTTCGTTTCTTTTTTTTTGTGTGCATTTCACGATCACCAAATACAACACAACTTTTCATTTGCTACACAGATAAATGACAACTAAAGTCGGGGGAAATTTCTATTTCAAAACACACAAAAATATCTGGGCTCTGCATAGAAAATCTGTCTTTATTCTCATCTCAAAAATAAAAATATGCACGAAGATTTCTTGAAGACTTTAAGAAGAATTGCCAAAAAATGGTGGAAAAAGAAGGAAAGCTGGAAGGCTGTAAATCAAGCTATAAATCAAGCTGTAAATGAAGCTGAAAATGAAAAGAATAAAGGGAATAACCGTCAATGAAAAGAGACCAAACACCACACATATTTTTCTATCACTACCACCCAATTGAAAAGAGAAATTGATAGGCTAAAAACTCGAGATTTTACCGTAACAGACTTGTGTTTTATCGTGTATTTTGTGCTCAAGTGTAAACGCACCTTTCTGGCGCACTGAATTCTTTTTTCTTTTGCCGTTTCTCTGAGAAAATCGACGAATTCAGTGCACCAATGCTTACATTTCGAATTTTACATTTCGAAGCTTACACTTCGAATTTTTAAGCTCAAAATACACAAGTACAGTAAATTGCCCAAGAAATAGAAAACATAGAAAAAAATGCAACCACATATTGAATTTGAATTCGTTTTTTTTGACAAATGCTATCGATCCCGTGCTTTTGATGATAAAGATATGAAGAAAAAGAAAATTTTCGCACCGCTAGCGGGATCGAACCATGATCGATTGGACGAAAGATCCTGAAGCTTTACCTCTCGGTCACATGGCCTTCCCTCAACCCTTTGAAAATTTCGCCTTAAAACCTTTTCCTGTTCCTTTTCCGGTTAAATTCGGTTTTGAAAACGGGGCTTAAAGCGAAAATCTCTGGCTTAAAGGTTTTAAACCGAAAATTTCTGGCTCCGGAGACGAGCTGATGTGGCCGAGAGGTAAAGCTTCATGTGATACCAGGCAAACGATCATGGTTCGATCCCGCTAGCGGTCGGAAATCCTTCTTTTTTAGCTTAAATCAAAGAGATTTTTAAAGAAAAGGGTACAAAAAGGTTGGAATGAGAAAAATAACACATTGAAAATTGGTAAAAAAGAAAATAATAATACTATTTAGAGATACAAAAATTGGTCCACAAGGAAAAATGAAAAAATCGTAAAAGAATAATAATAAAAGAATAATAATAAACGAATAATAATAAAAGAATAATAATAAACGAATAATAATAAAAGGATAATAATAAAAGGATAATAATAAAAGAATAATAATAATAATAATAATAAAAGAATAAATAAAACTTCATCTCAAAGTTCTACAATCTGGAGTGCACTCTCTGTTTTGTAACTACACGTAGTCATCGAAAAGAAAAGCTAGAAATGTTTTGGCTGAGTAGTAAAAATAAATATAATACTTTAAAAGAATGACAAAATTGTTAAATGACTATTCTAAATGAAAAATTCGGGGGTTTAAAGGTACGGTAAAGGGTAGGAAATGGCGGAAATTTGGATTTAAATTAGAAATTTACATTTCCATTGCGGAAATTTGCAATTCAATTGCGGAAATTTGCAATTCAATTGAGAATTTACATTTAAATTGATTTTAATTTGAAAATTTCCATCAAAATCTATAATTTCCATTTTAAAAAGTCGCTATTTAATGTATTCAATCATTTTACAATTTAGCCGAATGCCTAGCAGCCTTGACTCTCGTCTAAAAGCTTCGCTTTCTCGTTTCCGCTTCCTTTCCGCTCATGAACTTTACCGTACCTTTAAGTCTAAAGCTGAATTGACACGATAGAATGATCTCCTTGATATTAGAAATATCTGTAAAATTGAAATATCTTAGAGGTAAAATATAATGAACAGGCTCTGGTTTGAAAATTTTCGGGTACTCGCATTGGAAAATACAGCCGTTTGGATCAAATTGATGAATTTGGGGAGAATAAATTGAGAAATTGGGGAGAAACTGAGAAAGAAAGGGTAAAGGTTTACATAAATGGTTGCAGAAATGATCTAGTTGCAGATCTAGAGCTAGAGCTAGACAAATAAAAAAAAGGGAGCTAGTTGCAGATCTAGAGCTAGAGCCAGTTACAGATCTAGAGCTAGAGCTAGTTGCAGATCTAGAGCTAGAGCCAGTTACAGATCTAGAGCTAGAGCTAGTTGCAGATCTAGAAACTATAGCTACAGCATTTGTTGTGAATGATTTGCATCACTTTTTCTGTTCTCTGTGTGTACTTTGTGTTCAGCGACCTTTCGAGCGCAAGTTTCCTCACTTTTCTCGCGACCAAAACATAATTTTTTCCTTTTTTTCCCTTTTTTCCTTTTTCTTTGCTTCTTTTCTTGACTCTGCGAGAAAAGTGAAGAATCAGTGCACTAGAAAGACTGTGTTTATGAGCAGAAAGTCTAAAAGAACTGCTCACAAAGTACAAGAGAACAATTGTGTCTAAAAAATAAGTCTATAAGTTCGATAAAGCTTCACCCTTTCTTTCAAGATATCGAGAAATCACTTAACAAGAAGATAAATTTCCAAATTGAAACACTTATTAAGTTATTAGTGCATAGGAATAAATAAAGTGCAGTTGACTTATAAGCCTAAGCCTAAGCCTAGTCTAGCCAAGCCTAAGCCTAAGCCTAAGCCTAAGCCTGAGCTTAAGCCTAAGCCAGCCTAAGCCAGCCTAAGCCTAAGCCTGAGCCTAAGCCAGCCTAAGCCTAAGCCTAGCCAAGCCTAGCCTAGCCAAGCCTAAGCCAACCTAAGCCAGCCTAAGCCTAAGCCTAAGCCTTGCACACAACAAAATGACAACGGATTTACATAAAACCTCTTTTCAAACTCACTTATTGCGAAATTCCAGACGAATAGGTGGTGCTCGAGTCACCCAAAACGGAAACGGTCAATCCGCTGACAAAATGCGCATTTGTCGCGCTGCCTGAAGCCGAACGATCTCTCGGATTGTCGATTTCCGACCAGATCGATGACATCAAATGGTAGGAATCGGTGGCAAGACTGGAATCGAACTTTGATAGCGAGATTTCTTTGCATTATTTATTTGTTTGATTAGCATCAGGATTTAGCATCAGGATCCAGCGCTAGGATCCAGCTCTAGAATCCAGCCCTAGAACCTCACAACCTGACTGTCAGGCTAGATCCTGGCTCTCAAAGCTACTCTTTCTTAGCTCTGGAAACTTTAATAATGAGTACTAGGCTTAGAATACACGAGCAGACTCACTATCAGCTTGAGCCTAGGGAAGGCACTAGGCTCAGCTCAAACACTAGGCTCAGCTCAGACACTAGGCTCTGGCTGATCTTCACTGGACTCTAGGTCTTCACAAAGTAATCCTGTTTAGACGCTATGCAGAATTATAGGTCCAGTGCATTGCCGAGTTTCAAAAAAGTTGCTAACAATTGCTATATTATTCATTATTCTTGCTACAAACCTTGGCGGCGAGTCACCAAGTCCCTCATCTCGTTGATTCGAAAAAGAGTTCATTGGATCATTCGTTGCAACAAATGGCGATGACCACATTCGTTGACGAGACACATTTTGGTTTTGATTTTGGTGATACGGATGATTCACAGTGCACAGCGAGAGATTTCCCATCGCCGAGTGAAGATCTGACATCTTTGGATAGGGTTGAGGATTTGGAAAGTGATTGTTGATCTCGAGCGGCTCGTTTCCTGGAAATTGATTGGGTAAATGATGGAAGAGATCTGATGGAGGAGAGGCTAAGCCTTGTAATGTCTCTCTCAAAAGATCTCACCAAGATTCATTCCCGTATACGCGTTGCTCCACTGCAAATATGGCTGTACTCCATTTGCCGTCGCCGCAGCAGCAAGTGCATTCTGATTGTTCCCATTTCCCGTGTTTTGACCCGAAGTATTGAATTGTAAGTGCATTTTTCCACTTCCGTTCTCCATTCCGATTGAAAGTGGCTGGTTCTGAAATTGTTTTGTTTTTGATTATCATATTGTCTGTTACCATATTTCCATAGTTGTCAGTGGGACGTCCCATCTCGAGTCCAGTCATTTCTTGGCGGCTAAAAGATGGACTTGTGATCGTACACAGATTTTAGTACTTCTTTAGATCAGTACTTCTTTAGATTTTAGTACATTATCTAGTCCACTGTCTAGTCATAGTCTATCTTACCAGACTACAGTAGTCCTACAGTGCCTAACCAAGTCTTGAGCTTGGCTGAATACTTGGACTCTGGATCAGAACTCTGGACCATGAATCAGTGGGGCATTGATTGATAGGGCAACTGGGCATTGATAGGGCAACTGAGGCATTGATGGGGCAACTGGGGCATTGATTGGGCAATGCTGGACTTGTACAGGACTTCAACCCTATCAAATTACAGTACCCCTATCCATGAGTGCAGGTTCAGAGTCTAACAATAAAGCTCACACCTCAGAATCTAGACTAGAATCTAGATCTAGGGTATCAGCCTCAGCCACTAGATCTGGGACCAAAGTCCAGAGCTCGGGCCTAAGCCTAAGTCCAGGGCTTGGCTAGGTCTAGATCCAGGAAAGGGTCAAGTATAGAGTACTTGATAGTAACTTGCAATTCTCATGGATCCCAGGGTTTGCTCCGAGGAGCTCTTCTAGCTTCTAGGCTTCTCTTCTAGCTTCTAGTCTTCTCTTCTAGGCTTACAATTCCCACCACTTCTAGACTTATTTAGCTCCAATGAGTCAGGATAAATCTATATCCTTTAATCTACTTCTTGATTGATAACTCAATAATAGTTTTGCCTACAAAACTAACCGTAGAGTCGATGTAGCAGCTAAGCTTCCATAGGTGGATCGGGCAGCAACCGAGGCGGCAGCTGAGAGACTTGAGAATCCACCATTGATCATTTGGTTTTGCGGTGGAACGTTCTAAAGTTGAAAGTCAAATATTGCAGTCAAAGATTGCAGTCAGATTGCAATATTAATGCAATAATATGCTCTATGCAATTTCCAAAGTTGAGAATAGTCTCTTTTGAGAGTTTATTCATCTCCAAACTAACTTGGAACTCTTGATAGCTCGAGATGGGCGCGTTTGGATCAGTGATCGGCATGTTGCCTGTTCGTTGGTAGATATGCTGCTCGATTTCTTTTCTCGCTGATTCGACGTTTTGTGGTAAACCGGTTACCTAGAGAAAAGTGTTAATGAAGCTAGAAAGTACATTACAGTACAGTACATTACTTTTAATCTAATTCAATATATAGCTAAGTCTTTAGCTTGACTTGACAGGGCCAGGACCAGGCCAGGCTAGGTCAGCCTGGTTCACTGCCTGGTCCACAGCCTGGTCCATTGCCTGGTCCACTGCCTGGTCCACAGCCTGGTTCACTGCCTGGTCCACTGCCTTGTTCACAGCCTGGTCCACAGCCTTGTCCACAGCCTGGTCCACTGCCTTGTTCACAGCCTGGTCCACATCCTTGTCCACTGCCTGGTCCACTGCCTGGTCCACTGCCTGGTCCACTGCCTTGTTCCACAGCCTGGTCCACAGCCTGGTCCACTGCCTGGTCCACAGCCTGGTCCACTGCCTGGTCCACTGCCTGGTCCACTGCCTGGTCCACAGCCTGGTCCACAGCCTGGTCCACAGCCTGGTCCACAGCCTGGTCCACAACCTGGTCTACAGCCTGGTCCACAGCCTTTTCCAAAGCCTTGTCCACTGCCAGGTCCACAGCCTTGTCCACAGCCTTTGCCACTGTCCAAAACTCCTTTAGCTACATCAGAAGCCTTGGATCTGCCTTGACCTGTCTTAAACCTACTTTTGAAATAACCTTGACAGACCATGGATTTAGTTTGAACCTCTCTACTGACAGTTAGTTTGAACATCTCTACTGATTGTATCTGGGTCAATTCTAGAAGGAAAAACCTCAAAGATCGGCTCTCGTTCCCGGCTCGGAGTGATGATATATGTGTGAGTATCTTGTTGAATGCGCTTAATCGTGGCTCCTTTTGGTCCAACAACAAGGCCGACGACTCGAAGAGGCACTCGGACATAGGCTGTGATATGACCGGGTGCTGGAGCTCCACCCTGTGAGTGCCGTCGACTAGCGCGAATCTGTGTGAAATGCTCGGCGGCACACTCGATTTCCCGTTTCGCTTCCATCACATCCTCGCTTCGGCCAGTTACCTGAATAGTTTAGTTGTCAATGGTTATAGTTGTCTGAATTACTTTACTGAATTACTAGTTATCAGGCTATAGTTATCAGTTACCAGTTACCTGGTATCACTAATTGTACTTGATAGTAGTGATTTCTAAGCTATGGACCTTTGGGGATTAACACAGCCACCATTACGAAGCTGTGCTTGCTCTTGAAGCTGGCTATGGAGCTGGGTATGGAGCTAGCTATGGAGCTGGGTATGGAGCTGGGTATGGAGCTAGCTATGGAGCTGGCTATGGAGCTGGCTATGGAGCTGGGTATGGAGCTGGGTATGAAGCTGGCCATGGAGCTGGGTATGGAGCTGGCTATGGAGCTAGCTATGGAGCTGGGTATGGAGCTGGGTATGAAGCTGGCTATGGAGCTGGCTATAGAGCTGGCTATGGAGCTGGCTATGGAGCTAGCTATGGAGCTGGCTATGGAGCTAGCTATCGAGCTGGCTATCGAGCTAGCTATGGAGCTGACTATGGAGCTGGCTATGGAGCTGGGTATGGAGCTGGGTATGGAGCTGGGTATGGAGCTGGCTATGGAGCTGGCTATGGAGCTGACTATGGAGCTGGCTATGAGACAACTAGTCTTACTTGTGCCTGTACTTGGCTTGTTTACTTGTACTTGGCTTGCTTGTGCCCGATTAGTACGCTGAAACGTGGCTCAACAGTTAAAGCTGTTGAGTTGAACTGTCTTTTATGAGTTTCTGGGCACATGGTCGACACCGGGATTCGAACCAGCGACCTCTCGCTTACCCACCCATTCAGTTTTTTTCAGTTTTTTCAGTTCTACGTGCTTTTCTAGAATGTATAAACCCTATTTAATGAAATCTTTAATAAATCTTTAATGAAATCAATGAAATGATTGAATAAACTTCTCGAAGACTCAAAACAAACCATAAAGATAGGTTCTTCTCCCCTGACCGGCGTCTTGATATAAGTGTTGGTCTTGGCGCGTAGAGCTTTGATCTTGCAACCTGGAATTGTTCAAATTCTATCTGGATTTCGATTTCGATTTCGATTTCTATTTCTATTTCTATTTCTATCTCGTTTTCTATCTCGATACCTCACTTCTCCAATAATAACTAGTCTTTAATAACTAGAAATAACTAGTCCCTTGTAAAATTCTCTATTTTTCTTTTTTTTTCTTTTATATCCCGAGAACATGAACAATTTTTGGATGAAATTTCAGCAAAAGAGAGCAAAAGAGGAAAGAGGCAAAGGCGGATGGTCACTTTAGGGAAAAGAGTGTGAGTGGAGGAGTGAGACAGGTGGAGGGTGAGGCTGGGCTTGGCTCGAGCAGACACCCAGAGTAGGATGTGCCAATTTTGAGAGGCGACAAAGCGGAAAGTCGCCTCGGTGCTCACTTTTTTTTCGCCTTTCTCCTCTTCTCATTCCAACGAATCCACTATAAACCTCAAATTTTTGTTATTAAAGAGAAAGATTTGAAAGATTGAGTGAAGGTGGTTTTTGAAAGCGCTCTTTCAAGGTGTACCCCTCCTCTTCACTTCTTCTTGAGCTGGAGAATTGAAAGGAAGCCTTTCTGGAGTATGGAAAGCTGCATTTCTTGTAGGAAAGCTGTATTCTTGTAGGAAAGCTGCGTTTCTTGTAGGAAATGGGTTTATATAAGGGATTCAGTGCGCTAGGAATGATGGAGCTAGCTATGGAGCTAGCTATGGAGCTGATGAACAGATTTGAGCCCAGAATTTCACTACTACTACACCGAGAACAGAAAAAAAACAAAACTAATGAAAAACTTAGGTCTAACTTGTGATTAGACTTAAAAAATCGACTTTTCCCTGGTCTAGCTTTGTGCAGTGCACCCGAACAGTTGTGTTTCTGCTTTTATTCCGTGCCCTAGAACATTTGCGCTTCTCAGCACAAAGTAGATCTAGTCTAGATGGATGAAAAGCTTGAAAAAACAAAAAACGATTAAATCTACTTTCTTCTTATCAAATCAAATCTTTAAACATCTGTAAAAACACCTTTTCTAGTGCACTAACACGGTGAAGAACATTATAAAACATTATAAAACATTATAAAACATTATAAAACGTTATAGAACGTTATATAACGTTATAAAGCATCACAAAGCATCACAAAACATCACAAAACATCTCAAAACATCTCAAAACATCTCAAAACATCTCAAAACTAACTACCGTATTTTCTCTAATAGTAGTGCACCCCAGCGAGCCGAGTTGGCGACTATTTACGGCTTCCAAAGTTTTCCCAGAAGCTCAACACTCTAATCCCCCACTAGATCTCATCGTGAGCTACATTTTCCGACCCCACATCGATAGGTTCTGATAAGTGGTTCTCGAGATTTCGAGCAATTTAGGCGACGCTGCCGCGTGGCCGAGTGCTAGTACGTCCCGGCGTCCGTCCAGCTCGGCGGGACTAACGTCGCGTCAAGTATAGATGTCGGTGGTGTTTCGGAGGGTATCGGGGATGGTGCCGATATTGCTTTGAAGGATTAAGATTGTTACAGTATTGTTACAGGGATCTCGGAGAAGGCGCAGGAGGGGAGGAGGCCCTTTAACTCGAGAGCTCAAACTATGCATCAGCGTTAGCACTCCGGAGAGCTGAGTTGGTGACTATTTACGGCTTCCAAAGTTTTCACAGAAGCTCAAGAGTCTAATCCCCCACTAGATCTCATCGTGAGCTACATTTTCCGACCCCACATCGATAGGTTCTCATAAGCGGTTCTCGAGATTTCGAGCAATTCAGGCAAAGGCGACGCTCAGGGTGCACTACTATTAGAGAAAATACTAACTAGAACTAGAACTGTTCTAGAACTAACTAGATCATGTCAAAACTAATTCCTACGATGTTTTCAATGCCAAAAACTCATTGAAATCTAAACCTTTCTCAATTTATTCAACTTTTAAACAATTTAAACAACAAACAATATCAAGAAAAACCCGAATTTAACGACTCTCCATTTAACAATGTCATTTAACAATTTTAGTCCCTTAAAAGCTATTTACCTTAAGCTATTTACCGTTACGTACAATTTAACGATACGTAACGATGGAGAATCGTTTCCTTGAGAATCGATCCCTTGAGAATCGTTAAATCGACATTTGACTGTACAAAACTATTGTAAAGTTCTGTTTTGGATTCAATTTTTTGATTCATTTTTCAAAAAAGCCTCCCCCATTCTTTTTTTTTTCAATTCGCCCATCTTTGCGATCGTTTTTTTCCCCCCAAAAGAGGCTGTGATGTGCTTTTTTTCTGAGAAAATCGATCGATGAGATGAGTGCTTTGAAAACAAAATGAGTATAAGAAAACATTTTTTTTTTTTTTAAAGTTTTCGTAAACTTTTCACAACTTTTTCAAAACTTTTTAATAAACTTTTTAATAAACTTTTTAATAAACTTTCTTTTACAAAAGTTACAGTACTTTTATGAGGTTAAAACATAGCTCATCGTGTACTCTGTGCTGTTAAAAAGCGACTATTTCTGGCGCACATTCGTCACCTTTCTTGTAGCTTTGTTTTAAACAAGTCTTGAGAACAAGGCTTGAAAATAAGGCTCTGGAAAACAAGGCTCTAAGAAAAGCTCAGCTTACGGTAGGCTACTTTGTTAGAGAGCTTACGGTAGGCTACTTACGGTAGGCTACTTTGTTAGAGAGCCTACGGTAGGCTACTTTGTTAGAGAGCTTACGGTAGGCTACCTACGGTAGGCTACTTACGGTAGGCTACTTTCGTACCTTGAAATCAAAGTCAAAATTTGATGGGCTTTTGTGCATTCAGTGCACTAGAAAGGGTGTGTTTCCAGGCGTACTTCCAGGCGTACTGCTCACTATTATCCACCTAAACACAACCTTTCTCGTGCACTCAAATTCGTTCTTACGTTCTTCTGTTCTTACGAAAGGGTAACGGGAAAAATAGACTCTAGAAAAGATGCTTTTCGCTCTAGGAAAGATGCTTCTCTTAGCTAGAAAAGATATGTTTACATGAGCCCAAAGTACATCTAAATATCTTTCTCGTTCTAATTTTCTGAAATTCCCCTGCCTACAATCAATAATCCAACTTTTTCCTTGTCGATTCCATAAATTTAGACACCCCTCAAAAGCATTCGTTAGCAGAAAACGGGCAAAAAAAACGCTGGGGAAAAGAGAGGAAAAACAAGGTGACTTTGACGAGCAAAACAGCTGAGTTTGGGGAAAAGAATGCGGGGAAAGGTGAGTGCGTTTGGTTGGGCAGAGAGGGGGCATCGATGCGGGCAGAGAGGAGTGACAGGGATCGGGCAGAGACGGAGAGGGGGCGCCTCCTCTCCTCCTCGGCCCTGCCACCACCCCTCCACACTGACCAATGTCGAGGTAAATAAACTCAGCGAAAAAAAAGGCACTGTGTGCTAGGGAATAGATATTGGAGTTTAACTATGTAGGTGGGCTGAAGTTTGCAGTTTCTTTAGCAGAAATTGTAAGCTACAGAAGACGGCATCGATAGCGGCAAAGGGTTTTCTTCTCAAAAATCAAAAAGAGTTGACAATAATGGAGTTGAAAAAGCACTAATTTTATCGTAATTAACTCTAAAAAGGTATTAATGCAGAAAAAGACGAAAAAAAGACAATTTTTAAGGATTTTAGGACATTTGATACGCGCTCTGCCCTTTGCCATTGGCAATCCAACTTTGAGCTCAATTATCTTGGTGTTGGGTTGTTCAATTTAGATATTCTTGATAGCATTAGATCCGCTAAGTCTTTCTCTATCGATTGGTATAAAAGCCATTTAAATTGAACAAGCCAAAGCCAAGTTATTTGAGCTTAAAGTTAGCCAATGGCAAAGGGGCGGGGCGCGTATAAAAGGTCGGTTGCGCTAAGCTTTTCTCTATCGATTGGTATAAAAACTATTTAAATTCGACAGCCGAACACCAAGTTATTTGAGCTCAAAGTTAGCCAATGGCAAAGGGGCGGGGCACCCGACCTTTTATACACGCCCCGCCCCCTTTGCCATTAGCTAACTTTGAGCTCAAATAACTTGGTGTTCGGCTGTCCAATTTCCATAGTTTTTATACCAATCGATAGAGAAAGACTTAGCGGATCTAATGCCATCAAGAATATCTAAATTGAACAACCCAACATCAAGATATTTGAATTCAAAGTTAGATTGCCAATGGCAAAGAGGCGGGGCGCGTATCAAATGTCGATAACCATTTTTTAGAGTCTTTAAGCTCAAATTTAACGCTCTAGATGCAGCACTCTGTATTTTAGTTAAGCCCAACAAAGGTTTATTGGCTTCTTGCAGAATTTTTGGCCGACGCTGATGTTAAGCAGGAAATCTTAAACAACCAAATTACTTATATCAAATTCGAACCTTGTCTCCCGACGATCTCAGCCACGTGTTCACTGCTCGGTACTTGAACGGTCTCTGTCACGGTACGCGTCGACAACAACGATTTCAGCCCACCCAACGCCAGATTCACCTCTTCATCCCCGATTTGTGATGGAGATGTCGATGAGTCATCACCCGAGCCACCAATCTGGAGGAAATCGGCATTTGGAAAAAGACTTTTGGTACTTTTGTACTAGGAGTACTAGGAGTACTTTTGTATTAGAAGTACTTTTGTCCTAGGAGTACCTTTGTATTAGGAGTACTTTTGTACTAGATGTACTTTGTACTAGGAGTACTTTTGAACTAGGAGTACTCTTGTACTAGGAGTACTCTTGTATTAGGAGTACTTTTGTACAAGGAGTACTTTTATACTAGGTGTACTTTGTACTAGGTGTACTAGGAGTACTCTTGTACTAGGAGTACTTTTGTCCTAGGTGTACTTTGTACTAGGAGTACCTTTGTACTAGAAGTACTTTTGTTTTATTGTCAGAGTACAACAAGTTACAGTAGCCGGTCCTACGTATACAGTAATCGTTTTCCATTTTCCCGTAAACAGTCAGTTCATCTACTTTACCTATTACCATCATTTTTTCTTCTACGACTCCTTTCTTCTCGACTTACCTCATAGAACCACGAGCCGGGTAATTGTGTGGGAAGATTGAGTGTGGTAAGTGAAAGTGGCCCGAGTTCTTCCTTCATCCTAAAATTTGATAATAATGTCAAAGTTGGGCATAAAATCTAATGGAAATTGTTGGAAGAGAATTGGAAAACAATTGGAATTGATTGGAATCGATTGAAATCAATTGAAATCAAATGAAATCAATTGGAATTCAAATCAAATCAATTGAAATCAATGAATGAACGGAATTCAATGCATGAAAGCTGTACAGTGATCAAATAAAGAGCAAGCAAATGAGATGAGAGAATGAGATGAGACTGATGATCTGAGACTTTACTAGTAACTCTAGACTTTACTAGGCTCTGAGACTAGTAATGAAACGGAAACATTGAAAATATAAGGTTTTTTCAAAAGATATTAACCTACATAGTGCTCGCTGCTTTAAAAAAAGTATCTAACTCAAAAGAATCAAGCTGAAACTTGTTTAGAAAAGCAATACTCGGCAATTCCTAGGAAGTATTGCGTGCTTCAGTTCGCTCAACGGAATCTCCCCATCGAATCACCCCCCTTTTCCCTTCTCTTTTCCACCAAATAGCCTAATATTGTCCTAATCGGACCCTCAGGGTTTTCTCTGGGGAACAAGATTCCAAAAAAAGATAGTTACTTGTGGTGCTTTGTAAAGAAGCAACACAAAGGGGGACTTTCTCAAAGATTCTTTGTCAAAGATTCGCCTATTTGATAGAAGGATTGGCGAGAATAATTAGTTGGCTCTAGGGCTTGGGTCAAGAGATATCAAGTTCGAAAGAAAAGCTGGGATTCAGGAGAAATTTGATAGAAGTTTGAGAAATTTCAGAAATTGATATGGTTGTTGGGGTCTGGAGCCAGGGCCAGAGCCAGGGTCAGAGCCTAAGCCCTAAGCCTGAGCCTAAGCCTGAGGCTAAGTCGAAGCCTGAGTCTAAGCCTAAGCCCTAAGCCTGAGCCTAAGCTTGATACATAGCTTCCTAAGCCTAGATCGGACCTAGATCATCTTTTAGGTTCTGCGCCTGGAGTCCGAGATTATAGCTCCTTTAAGCCTAAGCCTGACCCTAAGCAGGAATCCAGGATAAATTGATTCATTGATATGGTTGTTGGGGTCTGGATAGACCTAGCTAGGGCATCAGCCTAAGCCCAAGCCTAAGCCTAAGCCAGCCTAAGCCAGCCTAAGCCTGAGCACAAGTCCTAAGCCTAAGCTTGGTACATAGCTTCCTAAGGCTAGATCGGATCTAGATCATCTTTTAGGTTCTAGGCCTGGTGTCGAGATGATTCCTGATTGTGGGTAGGTTTTGAAATCTGGGTCCCTATTCTGGGCCTGAAAACGGGGGTATTAGGTCCTAGGCCTGGACTCGAATTTGGCTCAGGAGGCTTTAGCTCCTGAGCCAGACTAAAGCTCGGGATCTGGAGCCCGACTCCAAGCCCGACTTCAAGCCCGACTATGAGTCTAAAATCTGGTATCTAGACCATGGCTTTGAGTCCAGGCCTGACCAGATATTTGAAGCTAAAAAGAGATCAAAATGCAAACAAAACTTGTAAGCGAGAGATCTTGCGTTACAAGGGAAAAGCTAAAAGCAGATTGGCTACTGGTTACTTCTATAGGATGATTTTGGTCTCGTTCCAAGTGCTTTTTCCTAGTTAAACTTTGGAATTTGAATATGGAGCTTGAGATTTTAATGAGCCACTGGTCAGGGTTTGATTCTAGCCCTTCAACCTTGTCAAATTGCTTGTCAAATCTTTTTGTCTAATGACGTCACTTCCTACTCAACACTTCAGATAAACAAATGTGAAGATAACATGATTTCACACAATCGCAAGTGATTTCCGAGAGAGCTAATCCATAAATAGAATGATGTGAAGATTTTGGGCTATTTTTATAGAAGGAGGAAATTATGCGTGTACTTTGCACGGGGTGGATTTATAGGAGTTCCCCCCTTTCACACTCATCTCGCGTCAATGCACAAACACAAATTTAGCACGCATGGTCACCTCACGCATGTTATTGAGTGCAGGGAAGGGAAGAGGGGTGAGTTACAGGAAAGTGATTTACCGTCAAATACTTTAGCAGGAGTCTAGAGAAGCCTCGCGTAGCCGTACAGCCTCGCGTAGCTGTTTAAAGCTGTTATTGAGTGCAAGGAAGGGAAGAGGGGTGAGTTACAGGAAAGTTATTTACCGTCAAATACTTTAGAAGGAGTCTAGAGAAGCCTTGCGTAGCCTTACAGCCTCGTGTAGCTGTTTAAAGCTGTTATTGAGTGCAAGGAAGGGAAGAGGGGTGAGTTACAGGAAAGTTATTTGCCGTAAATACTCTAGAGAAGCCTCGCGTACAGTCTAGAGAAGTCTAGAGAAGCCTCGCGTAGCCGTACAGCCTCGCGTAGCTGTTTAAAGCTCTTAAACCCTGTTTAAAGCTGTTAGACGGGTTTCTTTCTCAAAAAAAATGAGTGGTCTTCTGTTGGGAGGTCTTTTGATTTTATTTTCCGAGAGTCAAATCCATTTTCATTTACCCCTGTGTTGTTGGGGTTTCTTTTGAGTAAAAGAGCAGAAAAGGCATGGATGAACGGACTGAAAAAGGCGAAAAAGGCGAAAAAGGCTTTCGTCGCGAACGCCTAAATTATCGGATTGACCGCCGCCGCGCGTCGCTTTCCCAGCCTCCATTTAGACATCCTTTGGCCGTCAAGGGGTTCTTTTTCAGAGGGATAGAGAAATAAACTGAATATCTTAAATACTGAGTACTCATCTGTAATCTGTACCAAGAGATCTTACTCAGAATAGCCGTGAACTGCTTATAGTTAGTGCTAACTGCTAACTGCTAACTGTTGCTAACTGCTAACTGCTGCTAACTGCTAACTGCTAACTGCTGCCTGCTGCCTGCTGCTAACTGCTAACTACTAACTGTTAACCGGTCAATTACCTAATAGAAAGGCTAGTCAACAATTAGATAAACTTTGTCGTTCCAAGCACCACAGCATCTAACTTGAGTAACTTGAGCTTCTTATTTGTGCCGGTGCTGAAGTAGCAGCGAAATGAGTAGTTTGGAATTAGAAATGAGTAGAAATGAGTAGAAAAGGAACAGCTACGAAAAATCTACGCAGAAAAAGAGCCGAAGCTTCAAAACTTTCATAGTTGCCTCATTTCTTTGAATTTCCTCACAAAATTAAATATTCAACTAAAGCTTAATACTTTGAAAGTATACGTCGAGTAATACTTTGAAAGATTCTTTTAAAACCAATCTCAAGTCGATCTGATTACTGGAAGTCGATTTATAGAGTAAACTCGAAAAGTTCTCAAACTCCGAGACTCGTAACGGAATTTGGAAGTTCAACTTTGACACAAATGTTCTCTATTTTTTTATCAATGAGTATACAAAAGAAATTCGACTTTTCTTTAGTCAAATAATGAGGATTCTATTAAAACCAATCATAAGTTGATTCAGTTTCTATACCTCGAGTTATAGACCGTCCAAGTTGATCAACTTTGACACAAATTTTCTCGATGTTCTACAAGTAGAAGTACAAGTGGAAATACAAGTAGAAGTACAAGTACATGTACAAGTAGAAGTAGAAGTACAAGTAGAAGTACAAGTACAAGTACTAGTAGAAGTACAAGTACAAGTACTAGTAGAAGTATAAGTACATGTACAAGTAGAAGTAGAAGTAGAAGCACAAGTAGAAGTAGAAGTACAAGTACATGTACAAGTAGGAGTAGAAGTAGAAGTAGAAGTACATGTACAAGTACAAGTACAAGCAGAAGTAAAGGTACAAGTACAAGTAGAAGTAGAAGTACAAGTACAAGCACAAGTAGAAGTACAAGTAGAAGTACAAGTACAAGTAGAAGTAAAAGTACATGTACAAATAGAAGTACAAGTACATGTACAAGTCTAGAATTCAAAGCCAAATTCAATGCTTATCGTCCAACTCCAAATTGAGTGACTTTATTGAGCGAATGTTAGATATGAAGAAAATCTAATCTAAGAAAAGAAAGAGCAAGGAAAATAAGCAAGGAAAATCCTAGTCAAGAATTCAGTATTCTTTTGAATACTTGTTGCTTAGAGAGTTGAAAAATAGCGGGGGGAAAATGACCGCCGCCAGCGCGTCGCTTCGCCTTTCGCCTCTTTTCAGTCAGTCAGGCACTGCCCCTTTCACGGGAAAGGGGCCGGCTGATGGCTGAAAAGAGCACATAGTCAGAGTCAGAGAAAAGAGGCGGGCAAAGTAACACTCATCTCTTTCTTTCTTTTTACCCTCTTTTTTTCAACAGGTAAACAAATATTTGTATCGGGGAAATAGATGAAATCATCTTCATTTTGGAAAATCAAAAGATCAATCAAAACAAAACTAGAAAAAAAACTGTTTACTAGAAGAAGCTGGATAATCTAATCTAGACTGAATACCGTAATCTAGCTATTCTGGACTGAATATCCTATTCTAGATCGAATACCGCAATCCAGACAGTCTAGATTGGATACTTTATCTAGATTGGATCCTCTATCTAGACTGGATACCCGAATCTAGATTAATAACCGCAATCTAGCCATTCTGGATACTTTCCAGGTTTAAGCTGTTAAAATAAGCATTTAGGAATTGGTTAATGCTAATTTTGGTTAATTTTGGTTAATTTTGGTTAATTTTGGTTAATGCTGTATAGTCAAAGATCTCAAATGCAGATTTGATTGGTTACAATCGGATGATAAAGTTTGAGTTCTTTAAAGTTACAGTTCTTTAAAGATACAGTTCTTTAAAGATACAGTTCTTTAAAGTTACAGTTCTTTAGAGTTACAGTTCTTTAAAGTTACAGCTCTTTAAAGATACAGTTCTTTAAAGGTACAGCTCTTTAAAGTTACTGTAAATGTTGTATATGTAAATCAAAAGAAGAATGAACAAGGAAAGTCACCTTAGAACTTGTCAGCTGCCAACTTTCAACTCTGTTTCTGACGACGCTCAAGAATTAGCCAAGAATCGGCTGAGAATCAGCCAAGAATCGGCTAAGAATTAGCCAAGAATCGGGTAAGAATCAGCCAAGAATCAGTCAAGAATCGGGTAAGAATCAGCCAAGAATC